GAGGGCCTGTCTGTCGCCTATGATTGCCCCGGCTGGCCGCCAGCAGCTGGGCGCCGGGTGCACGCACGAAGGCCGTGCGTGTCGGTTCGTGTCGTGTGAGGTGGCGACGACGTGCTAGCCGAGGCTGGGGCCAAGTCGGCCAAATCACCCGAGACGTACCCGACCTCATCTCCAGGCGAGGCGAGTCTTTGCATGATGAACGCTCCATACAAAAAAACACATCGCCAACTATGCAAGATCAAGGCTGCCCTCATCTCCGCCGTGCCTCCTGGGAGCCCGCGAATGTGGCGACACTTGCGCAACTCGTAGCCTCCCAAGAAACTGCGAAGTCTCCTCTGGATCCGCGTGGACCCCGACGGTGCTAGATCACCTACGAAAATGGCAAGAATCGAGCAATTCGCAATCCCCCATAGAGCCGCGAAATCTCGGCTGGATGTGCGTATTCCGCTACTCCGCCGTGCCTCCCAAGAGCCCACGAAACTGGCGACAGTTGCGCAAACTGTCGCCACGCAAGGAACTCTACGAGTGCTCCGCTACTCCGTCGTGCCTCCCGCGATCCCAAGGAAAGTGGCGACAACTGCGCAAGTCGCAACCACCCAAGGAACTGCGAGGTCTCGAATGCTCCGCTACTCCGCCGTGCTTCCCAGGAGCCAGCGAAAATGGCGACAATTGCGCAATTCGCAACCACCCAAAGAACAGTGAGGACTCGCGTATTCCGCTACTCCGCTGTGCCTCCCATGAGCTCACGAACGTGGCGACAACTGCGCAATTCGCAGCCACTCAAAGAACTGAGAGGTCTCGCGTGCTCCGCTACTCCGCCGCGCCTGCCAAGATCTAACGAACGTGGTCGCAGCCACCCAAGGAACTGCGAGATCTCGGGGCCCACGAAAATGACGACAATTGCGCAATTCGCAACCACCCAAAGAACTGCGACATCTCGGGTATTCCGCTACTTCGCCGTATCTCCCAGGAGCCAATCAAAGTGACAACAATTGCGCAGGGTCGCAGCCACCCAAGGAGCTGCGAGGTCTCGCGCATTCCGCTACTCCATCGTGCCTCTCAGGAGCCCTCGAAAGTGACGACAGTTGCGTAGCTCACAGCAACCCAGAGACCAGCGCAGGATGAGGCAAGAGGAGGGGGGAGGAGAAGGAGGGGGAGGAGGAGAGGTGGGGTCAACAATGCTCGACATTCAAAACGAACACCCAACACAGGAGGGTTGGGAACAACCCGGTCCCCGTTGCGCAGGGGCCCGAACAAGTCTGAATTGTCCCGTGGGTATCCCGTTGGTTGTCCAATGGCTAGCCTGTGCGTCGTCCCTGATTCCCCCGTGGTCTGTCCCATAGTTGTCCCGGGGCTCTCCCGTGGCTCCCCCTTGGGCTGTCCCATGATTGTACCGTGGTTATCTCACAATTGTCCTGTGAAATGCTGCCTGGGTTGTCCCCTGGGTAATCCCGTGAATTGATCCGTGGCTGTTCCGTTGTTGTCCCATGGTTGTCCCATGATTGTCATGCGGGTGGCCCCGTGGGCTGTCTGACTGGTTGTTGCATGAATTGTCGCACGGATTGTCCCATGGATTGCCCCGTGGTTGTTCTCGTTGTCGTCGCATGGAACATGCATAAATCGACATGCATGCCCTTTGTCACTGGTACTAAATCGGACTACAATTCGAACAGCAAATGCAATTGAAGATCAACTTACACATCGAATGCACATCGGACTTGTACATCGAACTGCAACCAAGCCGCAAGTGTACATGAATTTCGAAACGCATTTCGAAAGTCGTTTTCCAGTATATGCGAAAATGCACATATCTATACACGTCAGCAATCGGAGCGCACCTGAAATGCACATCGCCACCGCTGTGCTAGTCGAAATAAATATCCACACGCTATCGAAATGCGCATCAAAATCCACGTCCCCCGCCCGAAACGTCCTTGTCACCCGACGGGTGGTGCGCGATTTATAGTTCTGCGGTTCGGGAGGACTGCGCTGCAGAGAATGGACAGACCGCTGTGCGACGGCACGACTACTGGCCCTAGAGAAAGCCTTCCCCCGTTTGCTCTGTGAGTGGAGGGGAGGAGGGACAAGCGAGCAGCCTCCCGTTAAGCCAAGCAAGGATAATGCTGATCACGAAATGCATAGTTATGAGCACATAGCCACTATCGCGTGGCATCGCAATGCTTACTGACTGCGACACGCCACGCTGGGGCCCAAGAAATGAAACTCTGCCGCAACGCCAGAAAGGCTTCCGTGCCCCCAGCTGCTTCGGAGGCGCGCCTGTCAAATTCCCGAGGCCACGTTGCTCGCGGGCGCCCTTTCGTGCTCGGGGTGCGAGGGCGGAGGGCGAGGAGGCGAGCGGGCCGAGACACTTCCAGCGCGCGTCTCCCCAAGCCGCGCTCGGACGCGTCAGCGCGCAAACAGGAGCCGCGCTGCCGGGCCCACTGCGCAAGTCAAACGGGGCACGCCCGCAGGCAGCAGCGGCGCGCTCGTCGTCGAGACCTCAGGGCGAGGCATTTGTCGCCCTGGGCCTCTCCCTGGGCGTCGAATACCAAGGGCGCTCCACCTCCGTCTCAAACTTGAGCCGCCGGTACTCGCTGCTTCGCGACATGCAACCGAGAGCCACAGTGTCGAGGATGCAGCTGGCGACGGCCAGGAGTGCGAGGGTGGTCGTCACCAGGAACATGAGCTGCATGGTGTCCCAAACCCTAATGGAGCCTGTCTGCTCCACGACAATTCGGATGCCGCGGAACTCCTCGACCTCCCTGGTGACCTGGCTGCTGAAACAAACCATGCGCCAACTACCACGAGGCCATAGCGTGCAGCGGAAACGCATAACTGGGCTGCGTGGGAAACTCATGCGTCACCAAAATTACCAAGAACCGAATGTGTGCGAGGTGGCGCTAGGCACAATCGCTAGCATGTGCGTTCCAGTTCCAGATCGCGTAAGACCTGTCCTCTGAGCAGGGAAAGAAGACCCCAGCAAAACCCCGCGGCGGTGGTATGAATCTGCTGCGAATATGCCTAACGTGAGGCCTGCTACATCATTGCAACGTATTGCGCGCGCGCTTCATGTGGCGAGAATGACGCCATTCGACATGTGCGTGAACGTTGATGACTCCCCCCTCAGACAAATCGGCGGCAGATCGTAGGGAGCGGGGAGAGGGTAGAACCAATCCTCGTCCTCCTCCTCCTCCTCCTCCTGCTTCGTTCCCTTCCCTCTCCCCCCCGCGCCCCCCCCCCCCCGCCCCCCCAATGCGCGGGGGGCAATCCGCTGTACCTCATTACACGGCAGCGCCTCAACACAAACAAACATACCGAACAAAGCTTACCATCAAATCTGACACATCTCAATGTGCAGGGACCACTCTTTATGGTCGCAGAGGTGCTACCATCGCTCATTGAATGCACGCTGGGGAGCTCGTGGGGTCCATTGGTTAGTCTTTCGCCGAGCATTCAAGCTGCTACTGCTATGGATTCTAGATAGCGAGCGTTTTCTTATTCGGCGTTTCGGCACTGGGCGGAAGGAGGGGGGGGGGTCTGGCTCCGTACCTCTGCTAAGTGCGGCTGTTTGGAACCGCGCGCCCTCTGGGGAGGGGGGCCCACCTGCTCGGAGCAGGCGCGCCCAAACCAGTCAAGATCTGCTCCACGATGGGGGGGCGGGGTGGGAGGGGGGGCACGAGAGCCCGCGCAGTCGGCAACACAGTGAGTGAGGCAACGACCACATGAGCAGCAGAGCCATCGTTTCGCCTCTTCGAGCGCCTGGGTGCACGAGCAGCGCCAGAGGAGCGCCCGTGGAAGGGCCCGAGGAACAGCAAGCCCCTGCCGAACTCAAGCTGGTCCTTCTTTGAGCGCCTTGGCTGAGATCGGGCATGTCCTCCTACAGGCGGAGCTTGGACGAAAAATAACAAATAGCCAACACAGACTCAACAAAACCCAAAATCTGCCGGCCCCCTTGTGGGGCCACCAGGCTGTAGGGCGAAGGTTCGCAGTTTCCTGTACCAGTTGCAGCTTCCAATTTCCACTGTTACAGTTCTGCTTCTTGCTACTTACTGTGCCTTGTTGATGGACCGCGCGAGGGGGGGAGGCCCAAAACGGGCATTTCTACCACGCACTGAGCGTGTGCTCTGAATTGCTAGGGTGCGTTAAAATTGACACCCCTCGCGCAGATCGGCGGGGTCAGGGTGCAAAAACACAAGGGATTTGCCACATTTCTAAAATTTGCTGGCACCCCTCAAGCAGATCGGCTGGGTCAGGGTCCAAAAACACAATGGAGTTGCCACATTTCTGACATTCGGTGGCACCCCTCACGCAGATCGGCGGGGTCAGGGTGCAAAAACACAATGGAGTTGCCACATTTCTGAAATTCGCTGGCACCCTTCACGCAGATCGGCGGGGTCAGGGTGCAAAAACACAATGGATTTGCCACATTTCTGGAAATTCGGTGGCACCCCTCACGCAGATTTGGAGGGTCAGGGTCCAAGAACACAGGGGATTTGCCACATTTCTAAAATTCGGCGGCACCCTTCACGCAGATCGGCAGGGTCAGGGTGCAAAAACATATGGGATTTGCCACATTTCTGGAATTTCGGTGGCACCCCTCACGCAGATCCGTAGGGTCAGGGTCTAACAACACAAGGGATTTGCCACAATTCTGAAATTAGGTGGCACCCGTGACGCAGATCCGTAAGATCAGGGTCGAAAAAACAAACAGGTCCCGACACTGCTTCACGGCGGCGCCGAGACCTCATGATTTAGCTTTTGCATCTCCAGTTATCCGAGACAGGGGGCCGGCGGCATGGGGCGAAGCCCTTACGGATAATCGAGTAAACGTCCCAGGACTACCGGTATGTTTGCATATTCATCCTGTAGGAAGACGTGCTCGACTTAAGCCTTGGCGTAAATACAGAGTTTGTCAATAAGTTTGCAATGCGTTGGCACTAAAGTTCGGATGCCCTCCCAGCGCGACAGCGCGCGCACCGTCGAGGGTGGACACGGCCCCCACTAGCAACACACCCTTTCATGGAAACGACCCTGGCCCAAACACAGCGGGTGCAAGCCGGCAACAAAAAGCTGCCGCAGAATCCCCTCGAGAACAAGGAAGGGAATTCGCTGATCGACTTGGCAGGGTGGAGATTCTGTCGGCCTCCGAACACTTCTGGAAAGTCGTCCGTCGCCCTTCGCACCACACAGAAACTGCGCATGAACCACAAACGGCCTTCCGGAGACCTGGAGGCACTTGCATGCTGTGGGCCTTTCTTCCTCGTCGTCCTGCGCATCTTCATCCACCTCTCATCCTCGTCATCCTTCTCGTTGTTGGCGTGAAAGAAACGAGTCCTGAGGGAAAGGGTCCTGGATCGTGGGGCTTCGGCAACTGAGCATCTTAGCTTGTGGTTCAACTGAATTATGTTTGCAAGATGGCGATGATGCGCTAAGCCTCCTATCCCTATCGCCTCGTAGACAAATGCCAGGCATATTGATGCCTCTATATTTCTCTCTCCCTCCCTCCCCACAGCAAGCGGATCGGGAGGAAGTCTGTCTGCCTGCTGGTGGTCTTCGTCCGAGAAATAGTCCACCTTGCGAAGCTTGACATCGCCAGTGGAATGCGGAATGACGTGGTACTTGTAAAACATGGTAGGCCCCGTGGGCTTCCAGGGAGAAACCTTTGGCGCCGTTCTCAAACAAAACGCACGTTAGCATCTTCCGATTTCGTGGTGTGGGCTCTGGCAAAGGCCGGGCGAAACTCACCGCAGGAAACCAGCCTGCGTGCGTCCCTGCGAGACCTCCGCTCCCAAACGGCCCCACCCCGATCCTTCGGGGCTTGGCACAATCGACTACAGCTCAAGTGGGCTTTTTTTTCTACCCCGCAACCTGGAGACCGAGCCATGGAACCTCATTGCTGTATTCTATTCGGACAACAATGGCAAAACCGTCGTTCCGGTACGTCTCGCCGGCCCCGTGGGTCACATTATTGTCCAGCGCGACGCCCGCGGTCTGTATCAGCCTGCTGAGCTTCAGGAGGTCGCCCTTCGTCGTTGCGGCAACGTGGTTCTTCCGCACCCAGTAGTCTGCCAACTCGAACTCGTCTACCAGGTCGGGCTCATCGGAAGGCTCCATCGTCTCGTAACTCCCTTTCTTCTTGTAAGGGGTATCCTGTGGCTCAATATCATGATACACAACAGGCGGCAAATCTATGATGACCTTACAAATCAACCTTCGAGTGATACGGTGGTTGTAGGCAGCTTTCGGCTCGCGATCGGCGTCGTATCGGGCTCGCAGTCTACCCCCTGACCAATCTCTCCCAACAAATGTACTCATCCTGGCTCTTATAATCCGATCGCGTGACTGTATTGACATTCGGACTCTTCTGGCTCATCCCACACTCTACTGACACCTATTTCCACACTTCTTATAACACTTTGAAAGTCTAACCGCACACTCACAGTTGTCGCTCTATCTTCCAATCGAGCCACATGCGTGCACATCAGACTGTAGTTATGAATTGGACCTGCCTTTCGACATTCATTCTTCCCCAAAAAGTGCGTGCACTCAGGCGCTTTTCCTTGCTTGTGTCGATAAGGAGCTGGATTCGTGACCGCCTCGTGTGCTGGATGGGTCTGGCGTTAGGTCGGGCGTGTCCCCCTACAGGCCGATTTTCGAGGAAAAATAAGAAGATGTCAAACATATTCAAAAATCAGTATTAAAAACTAAACAGACAGTCCCCATACGATTTGTTTGACTATTTCTGAATGTTCCCGCTGTAGAGGGACAGGCCCTACTCAAGTCTGGCGAGGCTTCGGCACGTTGTCGACCGTAGCCGCCTCGTGCGTTGGGCGCGTCTTGGCGAAGCCTCGTGCGTTGGGTGGCCGCCTCGTGCGTTGGGTGGCCAGCCTCGTGCGTTGGCCAGCCTCGTGCGTTGGATGGGCCTGGCGAGGCTTGGCCACGTGGCCGCCTGTGGCCGCCTCGCGCGCTGGGCGGGTCCGGCGAAGCTTCGTCACGCTGCCGCCCGTGGCCGCCTCGTGGACGTCCCTGGCGCTGTGGGGCCCCAGCGAGGCTTCGCAACGCTGCCGCCCGCGGCCGCCTCGCAGTCTGAGAAGGGGCTGCACCGCACAGCTCGCACCACGTAACAGTCACTGCATAGCCTGCGCAACGTGGGCTGCATCGCATCGCTTGCGTACAAGCTATCACCACACACATTGTACCGCACAGCGCTCACCACATGCATTGCACGCACACACACACACATGGCTTGCACCACACATTGCACATAGCCTTATAGCGTGGAGCGTGTGGCGTCCCGTGAGCCCGGAGCCTGGGATCATATTTGCTGCTCTCTTCGGGTTTCGCGGGGCCAAGCCCCACCTGTGTGGGTGACCAAGTGGGGCGGAGATACCATGCCCCAGTGGGGATGGGGATAGGTTACACAATGCTGACCATCAGCATCCGATCCGCAGTCCTCGTGGCTGTCCTCGCTGGTCGGAGACGCCCGCGTCCGGGCCCTGGCCGCGATCAGCGCCGGGGCATCCGGGTCCCTGGGCGGCAGGGCTGAGCCTCGGGGAGGTACCCGAGCGGTCATGGTGATAGCGCGTCTGACCTAGCCACGAGTCCGGAGCTGAACCACCATGAAGACGCACGAACTCTTCGGCAGAACTGGCAGGGATGGCCTGAACAGGACGGGCTGAATGGGCAAATATGGGCCGTGCAAGCGCTGGATGCAAAGGCGGCCTTCATGAACAACTGCATCCGTGCTACGTATGCAAAGTACGGGCACCCCTTCTGAGCGGATTGCTGGAGCTAGTGTGGGAGACGTTCAGGCCTTTTTCACAAGATCCGTTGGGCTGCTGGATTAGAGTTGCTGTTTCTGTTGGGTCCTCGTTTTGAAGAGACGGTCCCCGCGTTCCTCTCCTCTTCTCCTCTTCTTTCCCCCCCTCCTCCCTGCTCCCCCTTCCACGCGTTTCACCCACCCAGTACAGCGTTTCGTGGCCCCACAAGGGGGCTCCACCGAAGGTCCCAGTGGCACCGACCGCATGCGTCAGCCACCACCCAGCACAGCCCTTGCTCCATGCGTTTCGCCCACCGAGTACAGCGTTTCGTGGTCCCATAAAAAGGACTTCTACCGAAGGTCCCAGTGGCACCGCCCGCATGCGTCCGCCACCACCCAGCACAGCCCTTGCTCCCTGCGTTTCACCCACCCAGTACAGCGTTTCGTGGCCCCATAAGGGGGCTCCACCGAAGGCCCCAGTGGTACCGCCCGCATGCGTCCGCCACCACCCAGCACAGCCCTTGCTCCCTGCGTTTCACCCACCCAGTACAACGTTTCGTGGCCCCATAGGGGGCTCCACCGAATGTCCCAGTGGCACCGCCCGCATGCGTCCGCCACCACCCAGCACAGCCCTTGCTCCCTGCGTTTCACCCACCCAGTACAGCGTTTCGTGGCCCCATAAGGGAGCTCCACCGAAGGCCCCAGTGGCACCGCCCGCATGCGTCAGCCAACACCCAGCACAGCCCTTGCTCCCTGCGTTTCGCCCACCCAGTACAACGTTTCGTGGCCCCATAAGGGGCTCCACCGAAGGCCCCAGTGGTACCGCCCGCATGCGTCAGCCACCACCCAGCACAGCCCTTGCTCCCTGCGTTTCGCCCACCCAGTACAGCGTTTCGTGGCCCCATAGGGGGCGCCACCGAAGAAGGTATTCACAATCGCGGTACTCACAACTGCATATGGTTGGGTCCTTCCCCAGGCGAATTTCCTCCCCCTCCTCCTCCTCCTCCTCCTCCTCCTCCTCCTCCTCCTCCTCCTCCTCTTTCTTCTCCTCCTCCTCCTCCTCGTTTCCTTCTCCTCCTCCTCCTCCTCTTCTTCCTCCTCCCCTTCTACTTCTCCTTCTCCTCCTCCTCCCCCTTCCCCTCCCCTACCCTACTCCTCATCTTCTTCCTCCTTCTCCTCCTCCACCTCCTCCTCCTCCTCTTCCCCCTGGTCCTGATCCCCCTTCCCTGATGAGACGGTGCAAAGTTTCACCCATCTCTGCTTGCGACTGCCGGAGCTTGAGATATTGCCCGCGCGAAGGGAGCGCATGACGTCTGAGCCGATGAGTGCACGGTCCCTGGTGTGAGGTCGCCGTGGGGAAACGCGGCGGGCTTCCTCGCTCCGTTTCGGGCCCCTGGACTGCCACAGATCGACACGGCTAGAGAGGTCAAGCGCAGAGACGGGGTCGAGAGCCACAGAGGTGTGTTTCATCACAGCGCTGTGACGTTAGGGACGGGCGGAGCTGGGACTGGCCATGTACTACATACGCACCACCTCCCCTTCATCATATCTCTTCTCCTCCTCTGGCTATTTCCAGCCTGGAGGGCAGTTCTCGTGCACGCAGAGGATGGGCACATCCGTGCAGTTCTCCGATTCGGATTTCGAGTTATCCTCGCACACCTTCGGGGGGAGGAACTATTCGCGCGGCATAAGCGTGTACGGACGCGTAAGCATCTGGGCTCGCTCTTGAGAGAAGGGCGGTGGGGCGGCGCACGAGCCCGAAGAAAAGAAGGTTCTGCAACCGCGTCGATCACGCGGCAACGGTGCAATATCTCATCTCGCGGTACGAGTCCAAAACGATCTCATCACTTGATTTTGAAACTACCAGCGCGGAGCCGAGAATCTTGTAATGCCCGGGCTTCCCGATGAGCGCGCCTCAACCAGCCTCGCGGGTGACGGATGCGCACTGCTCCGGAAACGGCGTGCAACGATCCAAGACCAACTATTTACCCGAGGGTCCCCATCATACCAATCTCCCGAGCGTCTTCGCTTGCGCGAACGACCAATGGACAATGGCGCGGACACTTGCATCTGGGCGCGCAACCATAATACAGACACAGACAACGATGCAGACACACAAGTAAATACCATAATGAGAGAGACAAAAGCACGGACGCACACAAAAATTCCTGCGCAACCACGCAAGCGCACACTCTCAGACACACACACACACACACACATGCATGTTTACGCACATCAGTGTAAATACGCTCGCATCCGACCCTCGAATTCATATCACACAATTACACGCACGCGCTAGGTATACAAGCAACTCGCGCAACCCGTGCCAAAAGGACCTGTCAAAACCAACCCTGCCGTACTCATTTGGCCCACGTTGCCTCCCAAATGCCAAGCATCTCGAAGTCGTACGCCTTCGTGCCGTCACCGGTGTAGGTGGTCGACTGCGAATGCGCCTTATTGAATACTCATCCTCCCCCTTGACATGCTCCAGCTTGTCAATGGTTTACTGGGATTCCCCCCCAAACGGCACACAGACCAATCTCCTGGCGGGGACCGTGGGTTGGCAAGCGTTGCGAAGATTGCTACGCAACGTTCGGCATGAGACTAGTGTTCTTTTCCGCGGCCCTGGGAAAAGTGGGTAAAGGACGACACCAGGTTGGGGACATGATCTCCTCGATATCCTCTGGCACAAGATGAACAGAAGTGCGCCACTCCTGATCGGGAGTCCGTTCATCGGACTTTTAATATACACCCGAGCGCGATGCATCCCATCGGATACTGATGATCTGTTCCACGAAACGCCTGGTTCGTTGGTCGCAGCGCGCCCCATGGGAGTCTACTACTGCATTCAAGAATGGCCCCCCTTGCGCGCCAGCATATCACAAGAGAATGTAGCACAACTGCGTAGACACGTGCACCACTGAGGCTGCGTCCGGAGACCATCCCGAGCTTTGGCGCTGATGCCAGGGGGGGAATTCGGATGGGGATGAGGCGGAAAGGGGGGAGGTGGGAGGATGCAGGAGGGAGGAGATGGATTGATGGTGAAGAAGGGTAGGGGGAGGGAGGGGAGGGGAGGATATCGGATTGATTGGAGAGAGGGAGGGAGAGGAAGCGGAGGCGAGAAGGGAGGATGCGGGAAGGGGGGCGGTGGGAATACTGGAGAGGTCGAAGGCTCTCGTCTGATTGCGAACCCGACGGGTCGAGGCCACCAGTGTCGGGGGCGGGCAGCGCTCAGCGCAGAGGACGCGCTCCAGCGCCTGGGCAGCTCGAGGAGCGCGCAGCCTAGCGGGCCGAAGGCTGGCGCACGACACGTCGGCCCACTGGCTGCAGGAGGAGCGACGGGGGGGAAGAAGCAGCAGCTACTCGCCCATCGGTCGGAAGAAGTAGGCAGAGACAGGAAGCACGGTCGGACTTGACTGGAGAAGACACACGGGAGGACACGAGACCCTTGCGCGGGCCACGTTGCCACAGAAATGCAGGAGGCATGGCTCGCAAGACACAGGACACGAGGGTACCCTTGAGCTGGCAGGGTCGACCTACTAATCCGGGCCGACTGTAGGAGTGCGTTGGAAGCAGATTGGGTGTCCGCCCGACACCCCTGAAGAGGACGGAAGAGTTGAAGCCACTCGATCACTGAAGCGGGAAGGCGCCTATAGAGCAGACTGGAATCTGGCACTCCAGAAATATCTGCTTTCAACGACTGACGGGTCAGCATCAAGCCGTCGGATGTTCACGCGGATTTCTCGGATCGGCGCTGACCCCCCTCCCTGGCGCGCGGAGGGCGCCACGGGCTCCGGCGCCGATCCACGAGACCCGCGCGGACCTCCGAAAGCATTGTGCTCGTGCAGCTTCCTCGCCCTGTGCAGAGAGTCGCCATGCTCCTTCTTGAAGGGTCCAAGAGAGCTCACCAGAATTAGGCCGGGCATGTCCCCCTACAGGCGGATGTCGGGCGAAAAATTGAACAACACGTAACATAATCTGCAAACATGGCCCAAAATGGTAGAACAATCGTCCCCATATCATGTTCAAGAGGATCCAACAAAAACGAAGAACATGAGGGCACTCTCGCCGAAACGACCTCGACCTTTTACCTCGGTCCGACTGCACCCGAACCCTGGCGGGCCCGCCCGGACCTTCCGTGTGGCCCTCGGCCGCCTGCCGGGCCCGAGATGGAGCGAGTCGCGACGTCGGGCGGGATCAGCAGCGCGTCGGGTGGCCAGCGGATCGCCGCTTCACTGGGGGGGGGGCGACAGATAGGGGTGGGGGGGGGCACGCGTCGCGACGTCGGGTCGGATCGGAAAAGCATCGGGTGGCCAGCGGATCGCCCCAGATCGAAGCGGAACCGGGTTGGGCCCCGCCTCATGGGGGGGGGGGCGACAGATAGGTGGGGGGGGCACGCGTCGCGACCTCGGGTCGGATCGGAAAAGCATCGGGTGGCCAACGGATCGCCGCAGATCGAACCGGAACCGGGTTGGGCCTTGTTTCACGGGGGGGGCGACGGATAGGTAGGGGACACGTGCACATACGTGCACCTATCGTGCCCCTGCTGGAGCCCAAGGAGGGCCCTTCAGGGCCCTCTTGAGGGTACAAAAGGTGCACCTGTCTTCACACCCCCATTCATCGCCCCCCCCAAATCATTACGCAACGCCCGAACGGGATCGCCGCACCTGGCTCTGGCTAGCCCCAGCTGGTGCAGGTGAAACGAACGTCAATCTAATCGAATCAGAATCGCGGCCCCAGCCAGCGAATCGAGTCTCATCGAATCGGGGCGTAGGCGGCACTGTCTGCTGGGAACCTGGTGGGTCCTCTTGGTTCGTCTGTGGACCTCTTCGGCCTTTGCGGAGCCCTCGAGGGCGCCCAGTCCGAACAGTGGAACGAGAGTCGAAAGACATCGCACGCACGTGCTTTCAGTGCTTCTGGCCTCTCCCAGGCTTGCTGGACAGCGCAGCTCTAGGGGACTCTGGGGCCTCTTCGCGACATCTGGACGCATTCTTGGGGGCTGCCGGCGTCCTAGGGGGACTCCGAAACCCGCCGAGAGGTGAAGGAAATGCTCAGACTGGGGGGGATCACTATTTCTCGGCTACACGCAAGAGCGACCCTAGTCAAGAGTGACCTTTGGTGCGCGGCTTCAGGGGGTCGCAATGAGGCCAAATCCAAGCGCCCCAACCATCGCTGAGGGGGGCCCCTGTGGGCCCGCGCCAAAAGTCACTCTGGCGAAATGTCACTCTTACGCGTAGCCGAATTTCGGCGGTGTCCCTGATGTCCCCCCTGGGGTCCGCACCCGGGGCTGGCGTGTATGAGAGACTCCACAGCGCTGATCTGGGACTTGCGTCCGGGCTGAGGAGTTGGCCGAATGGTCGAGCAGAATGTCGAACCGCTCCACGTCAGCAACAAAGACGTCTTTAACGGGCCGTGGCTTGCTGTTCTCCGACTGCTTCTCCCCGTTCGAGCCGATGAAGTCCGAGCACGCCCTCCCGGGCCACCGTGCGCGTGAAAGCATCCCCATCTGTCCAGAACCCAGGCATCTCCAGTACAGCCATAGTGATACCAGAAGGAACGTCGAGTGAGGAACGAAGGGGATTTTCAGGCCACAGCGAGCCGTGGCCACGAATAGGTTCCCTGGCCTAGCCTAGACAGACTGGGCCTGAGGGACGGCCCGAGAAACAGAGCCCCTCCTGAGCCGGAGGCGGTCCTTATTTCAACGTCTTGACTAGATGGGCAGTGCACATCCTGGAGCCTGTTTGGATTCTGGTGTCCGTCACCGTGCCCCCTGGGCACGTTGCGGCGTGGCAGAGTGCAAAGTGCTGTCTGATGCGCAGGGCTTCTGCACTGTTATCAGGGATCCCCCACTCTCCTCTACTCGCATCATGCAGCGTGCACCCCCCCTACTCCCGAGGTCACGATCCCTCGTGACATGATGGACCAATATGCCTCAAAGAGAGCCCAAGATAACCCCAAAGCGGCCGAATATGGCCGCTACTATGGCCCAAGATGCCTCCAAGAGGGCCCAGCGGGGCCACCAGAGGACCTCCAACAAGGTCCGAAGAAACTTGAATCATCACTTCCTATGGTGTTTTCGAATGATTTTCGCAGTCTCGCCTGTTCGGATGTCCGTCAGCTCAAGACGGTCCAAGAGGGCCCCAAGAGTGTCCAATATGATGTCTCAATGCGACCGCATGATGACCCAAGAGGCATCGAAGACGACCCGAAGGCGACCCAACAGGGCCTCCAGTGGGACCAAAGACGGGGTTAGAAGGCCTTTTCAACAGCCCAACCCACCATACAGCCAAGAGGGCGCCAACACAGCCCACGCGAGCCCCAAGACGGCCCCAAGGGACCCCTCAGACTGCCTCACGGGAGGCCTAGACATACCCGCGACGGCCCCACAGTGAAGACGACGAGGCCTTCATTATCCTTCAGCTCCTCCTCCTCCTTCTCCTCCTCCTCCTTTTCCTCGTCATCATCACCCTCACCCTCACCCTCACTCTCACCACCATCAGCATCAACATCTTGAGCATCATCATCACCGTTAGCAGCATCACCGTCATCAGCATCACCATAATCAGCATCATCAGCACCAGCATCACCACTCGAACCATCATTCGTAATCATCATCACCAGCATCATCATCGTCGTCATACGTATCACCACCATCACCCCCTCACCATCAGCAACACCATCATCACCGTAATATTATCATGAGTTTTTTGCCATCAACGAGTCTGCCTCAACACATGCGGTTTGGACAACAGCCCGAACGAGACACCTCGGCCCGTCCTCGGAAACTCAGCTGCGCGGTGATGTGTAAACTGTGGTTAGTTTCAACAACCACATCCACCTTGTCGGGGGTGCTTGCCAGCTGAGATGTTCCTCCAATCACGTGTGCCCACGAAGGTGGGAGACTTGCACTGGGCACTGGGCACAGAGCCCCTTTTCCTGAGCACCCAAGAAACAAGTGGCACGCGTGCCCTGGCTCTTGCACAAAGGTGTCCGAGGCTCAGGGGGGCTGCCCTGGGAAGCCTGGGCGGGGGGGGGCAGAGGGGGGGGGGCAGGGGGACGAACGACACGACACGACACGACACGAAAATAAAAGTGGCCCAGGGGGGCTACCCTGGGAAGCGTGGACAGGGGGGGGTGGGGGGACGAACGACACGACGAACGACGAAAATAAAGGGTTCCGTGGCCCAGGGGGGCTACCCTGGGAAGCGTGGACAGGGGGGGGGGGGGCGAGGGGGACGAACGACACGACGAACGACGAAAATAAAGGGTTCCGTGGCCCAGGGGGGCTACCCTGGGAAGCGTGGACAGGGGGGGGGGACGAACGACACGACGAACGACGAATTAAAGGGTTCAAGGGGGGGGGCGAGGTACCTGGGAAGCCTGGAGGGGGGGTGGGGGGGGGCAGGGGGGCGGCAGGGGGGGGCAGGGGGACGGAACGACACGACACGACACGACACGAAATAAAGGTTCCGAGGCCCAGGGGGGGCTGGCCCTGGGAAGCCTGGAGGAGGGGGGGCAGGGGGCGAACGACACGAACGACGAACGACACGAAAATAAAGATGTCCGAACTCTAGAGCACAGCTGTGCAAGAGAATAAAAGGTTCCGTGGCCCAGGGGGGCTGCCCTGGGAAGCCTGACGGGGGGGGGCCGGAGGAAAGGCAGGGGGCAACGAACGACAACGACACGACACGAAAACACGCGTGTCCGAGGCTCAGGGGGCTGCCCTGGGAAGCTGGTGCAGGGGGGGGGGTAGGGGACGACACGACACGACACGACACAGAAATAAAGGCGTCGAGGGCCCGGTGGGCTGCCCTGGGAGCCTGGACGGGGGGGGGGGGCAGGGGGGGAGGTGGGGGACGAAAGACACGACACGAACACGAAAATAAATATGTCCGAGGATCAGGGGGGATGCACTGGGAAAGCCTGGGCGGGGGGGGGGGCAGGGAGGGAAAACGACAGCGACACGAAAACGAAAAGAAAGGTTCGAGGCCCATGCAGGGGGGGCCGCCTGGGGAGCTGGGCGGGGGGGGGGGCATGAGCGGGGGGGCAGGGGGACGAACGACACGACACGACACGACACGAAAATAAAGATGTCCGAGCTCTAGAGCACAGCTGTGCAAGAGAATAAAGATGTCCGAGCTCTAGAGCACAGCTGTGCAAGATAATAAAGGTGTCCGAGGCCCAGGACGCTTCCCTGGGGAGCCTGGACGGGGGGGGGGGCAGGGGGGGAGGCAGGGGGACGAACGACACGACACGACACGACACGAAAATAAATATGTCCGAGGCTCAGGGGGGCTGCCCTGGGAAGCCTGGGCGGGGGGGGGGCAGGGGGACGAACGACACGACACGACACGAAAATAAAGGTGTCCGAGGCCCAGGGGGGCTGCCCTGGGGAGCCTGGACGGGGGGGGGGCAGGGGGGGGGGCAGGGGGACGAACGACACGACACGACACGAAAATAAAGATGTCCGAGCTCTAGAGCACAGCTGTGCAAGAGAATAAAGTGGTCGGGGCGGAGGAGGCACTGGGCGGGCGCTGGAGCCGCGGGGGGGCGCTGAGACGGCGCGGGGGAGGGGGCGGAGCGGGGGGGGGTGCGGCGCCGAAATGAAGCGGTCAAGGCGGAGGGGGCACTGGGCGGGCGCTGGGGCCGCGGGGGGGCGCTGAGACGGCGCGGGGGAGGGGGCGGAGCGGGGGGGGGTGCGGTGCCGAAATAAAGTGGTCGAGGCGGAGGGGGCACTGGGCGGGCGCTGGAGCCGCGGGAGGGCGCTGAGACGGCGCGGGGGAGGGGGCGGAGCGGGGGGGGGGGCGCGGTGCCGAAATAAAGTGGTCGGGGCGGAGGGGGCGCTGGGCGGGCGCTGGAGCCGCGGGGGTGCGCTGAGGCGGCGCTGGGGAGGGGGCGGAGCGGGGAGGGGGGGTGCGGAGCCGAAATAAAGTGGTCAGGGCGGAGGGGGCGCTGGGCGGGCGCAGGATCCGCGCGCGGGCGCTGAGGGACGGCGCGGGGAGGGGGCGGGAAGCGGGGGGGGTGTGTCGTGTCGAAATAAGGGTCGGGGCGGAGGGGGCACTGGGCGGGCGCTGGAGCCGCGCGGGCGCGCTGAGTCGGCGCGGGGGAGGAGGCGCTGAGACGGCGCGGGGGAAGAGGCGGAGCGGGGGAGGGGGTGCGGTGCCGAAATAAAGTGGTCGGGGCGGAGGGGGCGCTGGGCGGGCGCTGGAGCCGCGGGGGGGCGATGAGACGGCGCGGGGGAGGGGGCGGAGCGGGGGGGGGGGTGCGGTGCCGAAATAAAGTGGTCGGGGCGGAGGGGGCGCTGGGCGGGCGCTGGAGAGGGCATCGGGCGACTGAGACTGCGCGGTGCGGCGCGGCGAGATGGGCGGAGCGGGGCGGGGGTGGCTGCGGTGACGAAGTGAAGTTGTCGGGGCGGGGGGGCACTTTTCCATTGTGGCGGGCGCTGGAGCCGCGGGGGTGCGCTGAGACGGCGCGGACGAGGGGGCGGAGCGGGGGAGGGGTGCGGTGCCGAAATAAAGTGGTCGTGGCGGAGGGGGCGCTGGGCGGGCGCTGGAGCCGCGGGGGGGCGCTGAGACGGCGCGGGTGAGGGGGCGGAGCGGGGGGGGGGTGCGGTGCCGAAATAAAGTGGTCAGGGCGGAGGGGGCGTCGGGCGGCCGCTGAGCCGCGGGGGGGCGCTGAGACGGCGCGGGGGAGGGGCGGAGAGCGGTGGGGGGGCGGGGGGGGTGCGGTCTCCGGTGCCGAAATTAAAGTGGTCGGGGCGGAGGGGGCACTGGGCGGGCGCTAGAGCCGCGGGGGGGCGCTGAGACGGCGCGGGGGAGGGGGCGGAGGGAGGGGGGGTGCGGTGCCGAAATAAAGTGGTCGTGGCGGAGGGGGCACTGGGCGGGCGCTGGAGCCGCGCGGGGGCGCTGAGACGGCGCGGGTGAGGGGGTGGAGCGGGGAGGGGGGGCGCGGTGCCGAAATAAAGTAGTCGGGGCGGAGGACGCACTGGGCGGGCGCTGGAGCCGCGGGGGGGCGCTGAGACGGCGCGGGGGCCGGGGCGGAGCGGGGGGGGGTGCGGTGCCGAAATAAAGTGGTCGAAGCGGAGGGGGCACTGGGCGGGCGCTGGAGCCGTGGGGGGGCGCTGAGACGGCGCGGGGGAGGGGGCGGAGCGGGGGGGGGGGTGCGGTGCCGAAATAAAGTGGTCGTGGCGGAGGGGGCACTGGGCGGGCGCTGGAGCCGCGGAGGGGCGCTGAGACGGCGCGGGGGAGGGGGCGGAGCGGGGGGTGCGGTGCCGAAATAAAATGGTCGAAGCGGAGGGGGCACTGGGCGGGCGCTGGATCCGCGGGGGGGCGCTGAGACGGCGCGGGGGAGGGGGCGGAGCGGGGGGGGGTGCGGTGCCGAAATAAAGTGGTCGGGGCGGAGGGGGCACTGGGCGGGCGCTGGAACCGCGGGAGGGCGCTGAGACGGAGGGAGCGCATGAGGATGATGATGT